AATTTATATCTTTTTAAAATTATGGTTTGCTATGTCGCAGATTGTTTGAGCAATTGCTCTTTTCCCTTTTTCTTGAGTGATTTTAAGGAGGGAGAGAGACTGCTTTAAATTTGAATCACTTTAATGATTAAAGAGCAATTTGAACAAAAATGCTGTTTGTAAGAACATAAACCAATATTGATTTACCTGTAATGCAAGTTTCTGATCAAGCGCATTGATTGCTTTTAGAAATTTGGTTTTATCAATTTGGAAAGATTTGTGAATCTGTGATAAGTAACTGGCATGGCATTTTCTATTTCAATAAACTTAAAAGACAATGAAATACTTGGATTCCTTATTACTCCTTGGATCTTGCTCATGAAAGACCCTACATATGACTTATTTGCTCATGCAATCAGATTCTTCAAACATCCAGCGTAATATTCATACATTCTCCAAGGCAGTACACACCTTACATTGAATGAGCAACGAAAAGGATTAACAAAATCTACAAAAGTTGCTTGATTTTTTAATATTTATTTTTGAATTTCCCAAAAAATAGGTTTTACCAAAAGAGCCACAGTTTAAAATTACCCCTCTTCGTTGTTGTGGCTTTAAACCACGTATTATTTGCAGCACTGGTGCGAATACGTACCCTAACCTGCGAGTAACTCGATGGCCGGCAAAGCGAGCGCGGGGGAGAGGGGAGGAAGGGAGGAAGCCATTGAACTTGACGGAAGGCCGCATCGCATCCTCACGGAGTGGCTGCGATTTGCGTGCCTTTTCTGTGGCGAAATTGACTCGCCTGCCCAGTTTAAAGGGAAGATCTTTTTACTTTGTGACAACGTAAAGTAGGAAAAGGTAAGAAGCGTGTAGGAAGAGTTCTAATGATGGTGTTTCATGAAGAAAGTGCGGTGGGCAAGCCAAGCAGTGCGGTGTGAAGATGGTGGACAACTAATCGTGTAGTTGTTTTACAGGCCCAAAAGACTCAAGTTTTCTTTACTTTTGTGTTGTGTTTGAAAGTTTATCAGTTCAGTAGTGCCCGAAGACTGTTTTACCGCGAGTTCAGTTCGTTGTGTTTCGTTGAAAAATGTCTATCCACGCGAATAGTGCAAAGTTAGTGTTACCACTTGGTCAGAGCGGAACGGTGGTGTCTCGATACCCGATGCGTCTATTACGCTGGGTCTCAGGTAAGACTGCGAATGCGAATGCTTTCTTTAAAATGTCACAGGCACCTTTCTGTTCAATGGACTTCTTATATTTGGTTAGAAATGCCCTAGTTGTTGCTCTCGGTACAACGTACCTTAAACTGCTTATAGGTTAAGTTGACCACTGATGCGACGGCTGCTATCGGCTTTCGGTATATCTCATTTAGTATCCTGTCTAGCCGTCTGCTCTGAGTTCAGTCCATGATGTGCGTCTTCACCACAGTATCCATACTCTCACACTGACTCCTGTTTCCTCCAGTTTTAATTTAAAAAACAAAACAACAGTGGATTTTACCCAGACAAGGTCAAGTTTGGGTTTCAACTAACTAATGTCCTTTATGGCTTATAGAGCACACTATTATAATGAAGGATAGAAGTAGGTACTGCATTCAGTCATGTAGTTTATTTAGTACATATCTTACATGAGCAATGTCGGCTCAAGTTTGTTGTTGCTGGGGAAATGCTGTTTTTATCATTAATATTTGTCTATCATTGCTCTAAATATTATATGTTTGGAGTTTTGTTTTGACAAATGCTTACTAGTCTATTTGAGCACAAGCGTACTGTGGTTGAGTTGCAAGACATGACTCAACTCAATCTTTTTCATTTTTAATGATTAATTGCCACAACCAGTTTTGTTTAACATGTTAGGTGCGGCGGTGGTAGGCAATACTTTGTAATTGGGACCCATGGTGTGGGTCACGCTGCACTTAACATTTTATTGAAAAATTAATCTCTCTTTAGTTGGAAAATTTTATTTGAACCCGAAAATGTCTTGATGCACCCATGAGTGTTTTTCATAACATAAGTGTGAATCCTTTGCCTCCGACCAAAGGAACTGATTGTTTGCTGTATCCTTCAAGCTATTGTGTAAGATGGGAGTTGGTTGCTGACATGTGCTGGGTGTGATCAGCAATTTGAAGTGAGATATCTTGCTGCCTTTACAAGTTCCTGTGACAAGAGCCCAGCTTGTTTTTGTGAGATTGTTAATATAAACAATGTTCTAAGTTTTCAATTAGGTCTAACTCATAACAGTAAAAGGCTTAAAGAGCTTATTTATAGTAGCTACTTTTATTTGATGTATTCTTAAATATCTCTTCATGTTTTGTGCAGGCTCGCGGTTTGCGGCACAAACCACAAATGGATTCAGAAAACTCATCAGATGGCGAGCTGAATGTGAAGAGCGGAGGTTACGCATCATCTGATGAAGAAAGAAGTGTAAAAAGTGGTCAAAAATCACCCCGCAGTCCGCCTGACAGCCCACCTGACAGCCCGCCTACCAGACAGTCTCCTCCCAGTAGTCCCAATGCCACAAGGAGGTCTCGCTCTAAAAGCCCCAGTCCAGAAAGTAATGGGGTGCTCCCTGAGAAGCATAGCCCATCAGGTAGCCCCTCAGGACATTCTTCATCGAGGAGCCCTTCAAGACGCTCTCCATCTGGCAGCCCTTCAAGACGCTCTCCATCTGGAAGCCCTTCAAGACGCTCTCCATCTGGAAGCTCTTCAAGGCGTTCCCCATCTGGAAGTCCCTCTCCATCCAGAAGTCCTTCAAAGCGCTCTCCATCTCATAGTCCTAAACATGTTTCAAGAGAGAGTCCACGAAGCCAGTCAGCAGCTAGTGGTCCCAGTCCAGGCAGGCAATCCCCATCAAGCAGCCCTGGAAACCGACGCCAAACTCCATCTCCACATCAAGGTAGTCCAGTGAGAGAGCAGCGTTCCGACAGAGAAAGTTATTCTCGCCGCACCCATGGAAAGAAGTCCAAAAAAAGTAGTGGGGGCGAGGGTAATGCTTCTGATGGCAGTGATGATGATGGCAATAGTAGTATATCATCATCCTCATCATTTGGTGCAGCCTCAGAATCTAAGAAACGCCCAGTGTTATTAGAAAATGGTGATCAAAAAGAGAAAGGAAAATTTGAGCCTCACAAAGCAGAAGATCTTTCTGATGTGTCAGATCTAGACAGTGCTAATGGTGATGGCAGCCTTGACTCCCTCTCAGATGATGAGGGATCACGGAAGAAAAAGTCAAGAGAAGATGCGAAGAAGCCAGCATCCCCAGTTCGTACTACTCAAACTTCAAACATCCGCAAAGATATAGTTTCTCATTCAGATGAAATGGAACAACTTGACTTTGAGGCTGAGGAGCCTCAGAGTAAAGAAGACAAGGAAGATGGGGAATGTGGTGAGACTGCTCAGGCTGCTCAGCCCTCTCAGACAGATCCAGAACCTAGCACTGCAAAGAGTGAGGGAGATGATGGAGAGTTGAATAATGAGGAAGTAGAAGAAGGTGAAATCACTGATGAAGATGAAAACCGACCTGAAGAAACGGAACCCCGTCCAATTTGTCGATTTTACAACCGAGGTCAGTGCACATGGGGATCAAGCTGCCGTTTTCTTCATCCTGGTGTTACTGATAAGGGTAACTACACCATGTTTGATATGGTTCGGCCTTTAGTCCCTACTAATGGACCTCCCATGTATGGGTCCATGATGGACCCATACCGACCACCCTTGGAACGTCCAATGATGGCGCCTGTTGGACCATTGTACACTTCACGGAAAGAAGAGGCCCCTGCAGTTGAATCTGCATGGGAGCGTGGTCTTCGAACTGCTAAAGAAATGATGAGAAAGGCGTCTAAAAGAAAAGAGACTGACATGGATTTTGAAGAAAAGAAGATGAACTTGAGCTTAGGCCAAGATGAATTGGATAAAGAAAATGACTATTACACTCGCCCTGCAAGCCCTGCTCTTGAAGATGATCTCGACCGATGGAAGTAAGTTTGTTATCTTGTGTTTATTCTGATTAAATTCATCTTCAGTTCTAATATTTTGATGTGTCTGCCGCAGTTCAAAGGAGCCACCGGAGGGTAAACATCATCGGATGGTGGTCACCGACAGATATGACGCAATGGATCCTTATTATGGGGTAATCTATCTATAACTTTCATCAGGCTATTCAGCCCTTGAAATGTTTTTGTAACTCTGTTTTCTTAAATTTAGCATCATCGAGAGGGTCGTGAGAGGTGGGCTCGTGGGCACTATGATGATGTGCGTGAACCTTATGGCAGGGAACATTTGTATGACAGTCGTCACCCTGGGCCACATCATGAGTCTCATATGGCGTACAGAGCTCACATGCACACTTCAGGTCATCATGAAGGTTATTATCCTGACAAATATGAAAAGAAAAAGAAATCTCACACTGTGCGGGAAGTCATCGTTCAACATTCACGGAAACCATCATATAAGGATGATAAGTAAGTTGCATTATTCAACCCATTCTTCCTCCTATTTTTTCTATGTATCGATAATTAAAATCATAATTTTTCTATCTAGGCCAAGTGGAGGACCACACAAAGGAGGCAGAGGAGATGAGTGGGCTGACCCATGGATGAGGTCAAAATCCCCCACAGCCCGCAAATCAAGACCTTCAAGACGTCAATCATACTCATCAGGCTCTTCTTACTCATCTTCTAGGTATTGTTTGATGCATCCATATCTTTTCTAAGAAACTTCATCTGATACCAGCTAATCGCAAAACTTTTTGTTCCCTCAATTCCTTGTCCTCGTACCATTTACCTATCTTGCTGGAAGCAGGTCTTCTAGGTCATCTTATTCTTCTTATTCCCGTTCTGGTTCAAGATCCCGATCTCGGTCTAAGTCGCGCTCCGCGTCCGGTTCTCGTTCACGGTCGCGCTCACCCCCTCACCCTTCCCAATCCCTCAGGCGAACAGGAGCAGCTCCAGGACGTCCCGGTAAAGGCGGCAGTCCTGCCCAGTCCAGACAGCGGCGGAATCCACCAGACCCACGAGCACGAGGTGAGGAGATCACTCTTTCATCTGAAAAAGTGGAATGACAAATGTTAAAATTGTGTTGTGTATTTAATTATTCTATATCTTGAATGCTGGTTTTTCAGGACCAAGGGTTGGAACTCCTGATGACAAACGGTCTGGTCATGTTGGTGCCTCTGCCTCAGTTACCCGAAAACCCAGACCTCCTTCTCCAGGTGCCACTCGTAAATCTGGTACTAATCCTGTTTCTACTGCTGGGTAAGCTGCTACTGCTAATTTTTGTTGCCTTAACCTTTGATCTATGGTTAATTTTTGAGACATTAAAATTTGGACTTGATTTTATTTTTTTCAGTCCCGGTAGAGTTGCTGGTGCCAAGGTACGGTCATCAAAGCCTTCTCGCTCATCATCATCAGAGTCCAGTGGCTCAAGTAGTGATAGTTCTGACACCAGCTCTATGGGATCATCATCTAGCAGTAGAGACCCTACTCCACCCCGTAAGTTTTGCCTTTGCATTTTCCTGAATGTAATAAGACAGCTCTGTAATCTAAATCAATTGTTTACCTTATCTCTACAGCAAAGCCAAAAACTAAAATTCAGATGGATGAACGCCTTATGGCACAGTCCACTAAAGTTAAGGCTATGGATGCATTAAAGGTATGAAAGCTGGATTTGGTTTTGTTTGGCCATAGTGCAATAATTTGAAGTATTGGAAAAACTAAATGTCATTTATGTTTTTAGCTTTCTGGCCAGAAACAACAAATAAAATTGACCCTGAAAACTCCGGGATCTAACCCACAGAACCCTTCAGATGATCCCAGAAGAAGTAAGTTACTCAATTCAATATCTGGTCGCTGAAAAATTGCCCACACTTAATCAAAATTTTCATTGAAATTGTATCATTTTTTCTAGGTGCTGTTGTTGCAGGCAAGAAGAGAACTGCAGAAACCACACCTCCTCCAGAAACAGCAAAGGTCAGTTCAGCTGTTGCTTTCTTATGTACGGTATTTTGTATCAATGACAAAATTAATTTTGTTTGATATTTCTTCATTCAGGCAAGTGCTGCTGCTAAACCTCCTGTCAAGAAAACAACATCCCGAAGAGAAGAACTATTGAAACAATTAAAAGCAGTTGAGGATGCAATTGCTCGCAAACGATCAAAAATAACATAGTCTTTTTAAATTATAGGTCCTGGTAATATTTTTTTGAATCATGTTGATGTCATATTGACACAGATCCTCTCTGCTTTGAGGCAGCTTGTAAAGTTAGAGTGTGGTTCAATCTATTCCAAACTGTTCCCTCTCTGCATATGTCATATGCACTTGCATCCTGGTATTTAGGTAATTTTTATCTGTTCTGTTAATTGAAGTTATGCACAATGTTAACTTTGTTTATCTCATAGAAATGGAATGAACTTTTCTAGTGATTGATTTGGCAATTTTAGAGTTCAACATAAGGAGAGGTATTTTTGTTTTGTGTTTTGTTATTTGATTCAGCACAAAAAAATATGAACTAATTTGTGGTCATAGATATTTTTTACCTTTTGAAAACCTCATTTGATTTTTTTTTTATCTAAGATCATCGACCTCTCTATGTTGTTTACCTCTAGTACCTGTAGTACTTTGTTCTTCTAATTGGTTTGAACTAAGTGATATTACAGATGTGCTGTATTTGTATGCTGCCTTAAATTTCAAAATCTAGCTTGTAGACCTTTAGATTAGACCAAGGGCTACAATGTCAGCTAATATAATAGTAATATTTGGAGTGAAGTCCATCTTGTCTGTATTATATCATACCTGTGCTCATGTCTCTTTTTTTTTTTTCCTCTTCATTTTTTTCATTTCTGGTAACTTTCTAGTATTGTACTTCCATCAAACTATATTATAGTTGAATCTTTCTGAAGTAACTGCCAATCATTTTCTGTAGTACTTGTGCTTCCGTAATGGTTCATGTTCTCATATATTTTTACTTGTTTATACTTTCTCAGTGATCTACAAGTTATTCATCCATTTTTTTTTGTCATGTACTATTTAAAACTTTTGTATGTAGTGTAATTAAAATAAAACATGCATCTCGTAACCGTTCTAATTATATTTTACCCCTGCAATGATTCACCAAAAGTTTTATCAGCTAGATAATTAATAATTAATGAACTGTTCATGCGATTTTGGACTTAAAGATTTTTTTTTCATTCTACTCAGAGCTAGCCTCACAACATGGTTTCGCCGATGTCAAATATGTTCGCTATGACAATAAGAATGCGATTGCTTCTCTGTGACTATTTTCGAGCAGGCGGTGGCGGTGGATGGCAAATGGCAGACGACAGGATGCCCATACTTTAACCTCTCTTTTCCACATCCACTACCAGGATTAGTTCGACATTTGACTTGTGACAGGAGTCACTGAATTTTGATTCCGGAAAGGACTTAGGAAGTACTCAGCCACCACCATGAAGATGCTCGACATGCTGTCTTTAGGCCCCATCCTTATGGTGGGTGCGGCCTACTGGATCTCCAAGCGTAGAGATGCATTGGAAGAGCAAGGGTTGTTATTTCCGAAAAAGAAAGACGTATCAACCGGTGACAAGGATCTTGATGCTATTTTAGGAATCAAACCATCAGTTGCACTGATTGAAACCAATCCTTGAAGAGAGAATGTTGTATGAGGCCATCCTTCGCTGAAGAGGGGTCTGTCCAGTCACCATCACATTCCTGCTCCAAAGAGGAACATTCTATCCAAACAAAGTGTTGAACTGCAAGTGTGATGGAATTTAAAGTTTTGCAAGAAACGCAAGAAGATCAAAATTGTACTTTCTTGTTTGTGTCGTAGCCCTTCTTGATATTATAGTACTGTGAATATACTTTTGATAATATTCGCCTGTGCTTGTGATGAGGTTTCGAGATGTGCGATAATGTTTACTACTGTCATACTGTGTTAAATAATCTTAATAAATTTAAGTAATTATTGAACAATTTTGTCTGGATTAGCCTAAATATCTCTTTCTAAAGCTACTACACTGCACTACTGGACCAGGAAGACAATATGAAAAGATAAGGATAAAAGAATTCTTAACGCATTCAGTGTGGCTGTGTGGGCAACCTGGGAGTTGGAATATCCATTAAAATACAATGACATTGTGGTCAGCTCACTGAATGTTCTAATTTACCTACCCTCAACAATGTAGGTCTGCTAAACCAATTTTGGGATGCTTAACTGCAACTACTGCAGCATTTCACATACAGTATGAGTGAGACACATCAAGCAAGAAATTACATCCTTTGCAAAGATCAAAATGCAAAGTGCATGATTCGCTGAAAGATTTAGCATTTCTAGTATTGCAGAATGTGTATGAGTGACCCATCTTATTCTCATGGGATGATCAATTCATGCCCTCTCTTCAGATGTGTCAATGGAAGGAAAGAAAGATGAGATGGGAAGGGGGCAGTCGTTTGGAGACAGCAGGGGGCAAATTCGTTTTTGTCCTTGGGAAGTAAGTTGTGGCCTCTAGCCGCTGAAGGTGGTAGCTGGAGCAGGGGGGAAGGGGGCTACATCCCCTCTGTCTTTCTACGCCCGATAACCCTTTTAATGACATTGTCATCTCACGAACGTCGTTGGGAATATGAGACGAAACAAAGCACCCCCCCCCTCTCCTAAAGTCCGTCAGTCTAAGCGCGGCGCTTTCGAACAGACAAAAGGTTGAGAGGAGACTGGTTCCTCTTGACGTCCACGCCGTAGGCCTACAGCATCTCTGACTACAAAGGTTCTAGGTGACAGGCAAGAGAGCACTGTTGCAGCGCACTATACCATATTTCATGATTGGTAGCAACAGCAACCCCTTTCAAAGGAACCTTTTAAACGAAGCTCAACAGAAGGGATCGTCCAAAGAGCACCGCGGTTTTTGCTCAGATTCATTACGAAAATTGCGGAATAAGCGAGGCGCCTGCGAGACGCAGGGTAGTCCACCCCGCAGTACACGCATGCACTGCCGGACAAGATGTCGCCTACCCATCAGGCGCTATGAGAGCTTGCAAAAGACGCCCCTATTTGTGGGCGTCCCTGTTTGAAGCTACACGATTGTAGCTACAGCCGACAGTGCCTGAGTCAGCTTAAACTGAACCGTCTATAGACGAATTCATTAATTCCGCCAATGCTAGAATATCAACCAGAAGTAAACAGCGCTAAGAACTAAAGCGAAAAGAAAGATCTCAATGCCTCTCCGAAGCCCTCGCCTTGTCCAAGCACTCGGAGGGACAGGGGGCCGCGGGGGCCCGATTCAGGAAAGCATTGCCTACCCTCCAGGCGTTTTCAGCGACAATCATCGACCCACGCCTAGATAAACACGGCGTCACTTCTTAGCTTTAGAAAGGATTTATGAGCCTGGGGTCAAAAGGAGCCTAAACCCAAAGTCCCCGTCACGACAGACGCCTTAGAGAGAATCCGTGGCCTACCTCGCAGGCGTCCAAGCTACAACTCGTGTCGCGGCGACAAGTGGTAGTGTTTATGGACACACTAATGTGGTCACAAATGGGACAACATACGATGTCCGACGCCACCAACCACACGCCCCTTTTGTGGTTAAACAGTTGTAGCTACAGACGACATGACCGCATGCAGCTTCATCCGAACCAAATTTGTCGGCCCTAAGATCAACTCCCGGGCGAGGCAAATTTTTTCTTTGTCGCTTTTTGTCTCCCTTTAGGCAGGACCGAGCTCACACCTCGGCCCTGAAGGAGCAAGCTGGTAGCCGAGCGTGTTAAAGCGTGGTCGTTGGCAGATCGTGGGGATGGTCGGTAGTTCGAATCCCGTCCGCGACAATTTTTCCTGCTCTGCTGGCCAAGTCTCTTCGGGCGTCAGTTACAGCTGAGATGTGGATGCCGCCGAAAGTTGTGCTCTGTATCGTTCCGTCGTGGCCAAGTCGGTAGCGTCCGGGCCCGGTATGAGCCCGATCGCTGGTTCGAAACTCGGCCGGGTGAACTTTTTCGCGCTCCGCTGGGCATGACTTTACAGCCGTGCGACACCTGATGTGATGGGCCGGTACGCAAAAAGTCGCTGGTTCGAATCTATTCGACGGAACCCTTCTTCCCCTTTGCCAGCCGGGGTGTGAGCCACAGCGGAGATAAGCTTCACCCGCTTCACCTATTCAAAAGCCACATCATTGGCTCAGTTGGTAGAGCGCGCGTCCGGGACGCGGATGGTTGTCGGTTCGAATACTGACCGAGGCTCATTTTTCCCTATTTAGTAGTTTGCGGCGCGGGGGCCAAGGGTTATGACAAAAGACCAGCCGACACGGGGAGGTGGACTTGACCGCCTACTCATCAGCAACCCACCCACCCCGCACCAAGAAAGAAAAACAACAACAAAATGTTCGCCCCGACCGGGACTCGACCCCAGGGCCGAGAGGGCCATGCGCTCCCCGCCCCAGCGCGCTCGCCACTCGGCTATCGGCTCCACTTGCCAGCGGAAGGTTCAGAACTCGGTCCTGCTTTAAAAGTCTTGGTCTCCCGGATTGCACGCGTTCAGGTCGGGTCAAGTCCACCTCCTCGACGCGCTGCAGCCCGGGTCGGCTCTTGGCCCGAAACACGGAAAATGGCCACTAAAAGAGCCCCTTGGGCGCGCGGGGGTTAGGTTAGGTCCATTTATGGGACTTGTTCCGTGTTTTTGGCCAGAATTCGACCCGGGCTGCAGCGCGTCGA